CAATAAATATCAGAAGGAGTTCAAAACTTCAGATGGTTAATTTTCTCCACTAAACGTGATTATAAGATCGAGAAATTGAAAAAGCATATTTTTGTTATTGAGTTTTCCACAAACCCTTTTAGAAAACCTTAGCGTTTTGTAAAATTTCTTTTGAGCTCTCCGATAAATGGAATACAGAATGGCTTAAATACTCTACATTCTGAAGTTTTGAACTCGTTCTGATGTTTATTGAATGAATAGTAAATTTTTTAGTATTTGGTTCTTTCGCATGGCGAAAGTCGAGCTCTCTAGCTGGCTTCTATCAAAAGTTATTCAAAAAGCAACCGCCTGCCTTGTATTTTGGGACGGATAGTAGTATCTTTTATAGGAGAAGTGAAATTTTAGACTGTGAAAATAGACTTGAGTGTGGATTTCTTCCAGACACCTTTGGATTTCTGCTATATAACACATTCTTCAATTTAAGATATTTTAAGTGCTATGATCGTAGAATTTTTATGATTTTTGAGAATTAAATTTAACTGTTTCTGTGTAGGACTTGTCGATATAGCGTTTAAAACATCTCAAAAACCATCGAACGAGAGACGTAAATGATTTTGCTCCTTTTCAGCGAGTCTTTAGCTCCCGATATTCGCTATCGTATATCCAGTGTTGTTATTCGTTCGATCGAACTGCTTTATTTTATTCATTCCTATGTGCTATATTTAATAATTCTATAAAATTTAAATTGTATTTTCAACATATCTTATTCCTCCAGTAAATATAGCTTCATTTATATCTTTCTTGACCCATTTTGGGCATCATCGTTAGTCTGATCTTCATCTCATCCGTATGCATTTTGTCTAATATCATAAAAGTGGTTTATTTTAATTAAAAATCGTTTTGATGCTGCATTAATAATTTTCATGACATGATACTAACTGTTGAGACAATTTCAAGAATTTTATCTAGCTTTCGTTTCAATAATACAAGCAATAGAAGAAAAATATTTTTGTCGTATGCTTATTCATGATACTCACTGCAAATCGATGAGCACTGCAGTCAGATCTTTCCCAGCATTTCTCTCTATATAAAGCGGATGGTCTGTTGTGTGTAACTGAGATATGTCAAAAAAATTGGTGATCAAAAGAGATTGATACCCATTGTTGGTGCTAGAGAACTGTGCAGCATCTCTCATTTTTTAAATCAAACACTGCTCACTATTGCCGGAAAGAGGAAAATTTTTTACTTCTCTCGTTCACTGGTTTTTGGACTGTTTTAAACACTATACCGACAAAACTTACAGAGAACTAATTTTCGAAAATCGTCAAAACTCTACGATTATGACAGTTATCAGTTATGTTTCAGTCTCTTTCCAATAGTATCATTGAAAAATATTAAAACTTATTCATACCCATGACCAAAAGAAAAAGTTTGGACAGTTCTATAATTTTTTTTTATAGTGAAAAATGATGATTTTCTGAGAACAACTGTTTTTTAAAGGAATAACGAACCCTCAGACAATTGTTGATGACATATGTGGAAAGAGAACACTCGAATATATATATTTACATGTTGTTCTCCTTTTCTCGAAACAAACAAGAAATTGCACGGTAAAAGATAGGATCGATCTGATCTTATAATTTGTTACCATACTGTAGATAATCAAAGAGAATGTGACCATCATATTTCTACTCATAAACCCAATGGTAAAGATGATTATAATAGGTCAAAAATAGATTTTCATATCGTAAGGATGAGATGTATTATACATTATTAGTTTACTTCAAGTACTCTTTTCCTATTTTACTTCACTTTTTATTAATATAAACTAAAAACGAATGAATAAATTTATAATAGTCATACAGTTAACATGGAAAAAGAGTGCAAACAATCATACATTTGTTTTTGACGATTTTGATATTATTATTTTTATAATTTTTTTTAAAAAAAAAACGAAAAACAACATTCAATTATATTGTAGAAAACAATTTTAAAAAGATGATTACAATATGCTTTATCAGACGCAAATAATGGATTAAAATCACACACATAACAAAGCACACATATTCATAAATCAATAAGCTTTTTTTAATTCATTTGTTAACCATTCAGCTGAAACATCTTCGCGTAATTCAATAATCTATAACAAAAATAAACTAGACATTAGTCATTTATTACTTATTATTATTATTTTTGTTTTTCTAACGTACACGTGTTATTCCTGATGCTTCTGATACTGAACCGGCTGTGGCTGCGTACATGAAACGATTTTGTGTACCACAACCATCTGGAATGTACATGATCAAATTTAATGGATATTGTACACGTCCATCTGCATGTTTCCATTCGTGACTATACAATATAAATCTTGGTTCACGACTTGGCAATTCTTCAATCGAGCAAAAAGAAGAAAAAGTACATTAGTGAATATTCAAAAGAGAAACTCAACCACTATATTTTACCTTCGATAAGTTGTTCAGGCGTAATATCCTTGAGAAAAAAATATATAAAAAATGAATTTTGAATATGATCAATGAAATATATGAAGATTAAAACTTACATTGAGTTCTTTGTCTATAACAACTTGATTTGCTTTCATATCACATTTAACTAAAAATAAAAAAAATTTCAAAAAGAAAATAATAGCAAGAAATAAAAAAATAGATATTGTTGAAACATACGTATGACAGCCATTGTTGATTTGTTTGATAAACGACGAAATTTTTTCATCATATCAACGACTGGTTTATCGATTAAACATGTTGACATTGCCATGACTATTACTCTCTAGAATCAAATATTATCAAATAAATCTTGTCAAAAGAGGATCGATTGACATTTTCTATCACATGATTTTAAGCTAAGTTCGCTCTTACGAAGGAACCTTTACAGCTTTTCTGATTAAAACCCAGTTTTGCTATGGTTATGCTTGATCGCGAAGCTGATTGAATTTCTGGCTGAGTCTCCAGAACTCTAGTCTCTACATTGTTAAAAGTTTTTACGCCAACTAATGCTGGAATGTGTGACAATAGGTCAAAAACGTTATACTTAGGGCAATCCAAAAGTAGTGAGGGAGGTACTTTATTTTCTTAAGGAGCGCTTCAAAAACATTTCTCTTTTAATGAACAGATAGAGCGTCTTTCGCTCTATTTTTCTATGCTATTTGATCA